TCCGCTTTCGCCGCTTTCGGAAGCCCAAACAAAGACGTTTGGGCACGGAGGTGAAAAAAAACAGCGTTTCCACACCGGACACGTAATCCTTAGAACTTTATGGGTTTGTTCTACAACACAATCAGACATGCAAACCTCAGACCTTATTTTACTCCTATTTATCTGCCATTCTGAATCTCTTCACAAAGGACTGCAAACCGAATTATCAAACATCCAGATAGCAAGAACCTTTGGGCCAAATGTGGCCGATAGCTGGCATATATGGCTTAGATATGGCATGGCTGAACAGATATGGGCCAGATTGTTACCATATATGTTTTGCCATATGTTTAGAATTTGCGGGAAATGTTTGCTTGGTTCACAGCTCCTTTTGAGGTATATGGTCCAGATAACAAAAAACACATAAGAACCAAGTAAGGTTTAGCTATGGCTGACATTGGTAAACATTGACTTCTGGATAACATTTGGATTACACTTGGAAAACGCATCAAGTTTGGCAGATGTCCGGCAGGCCACACCTCGTTGCTACGACTACCGCGCCAATTTGACCGAAAGGCGGCAATTAATCTTATTCCCTCACGGATTTTCTGTTGCTTCAGGTAAGTGATATTTTGGCATTTTAAAGTCATTTTATTGAAATATTCATCATTGGGAGTATTAGCATTGACGACTACCGCGCCAATTTGACCGAAAGGCGGCAATTAATCTTATTCCCTCACGGATTTTCTGTTGCTTCAGGTAAGTGATATTTTGGCATTTTAAAGTCATTTTATTGAAATATTCATCATTGGGAGTATTAGCATTGGGAGTTATTAAGTCTTTAGTTATTTGTTTAATTGAGAAAAGCGTCAAGAAATTTTACTTTGTTGAATGTGGTGTTTGCATAGTTTCCGACAATTTCCAATAATCACGCAATCCGGGTTGAAATTTAAAAATAAATTATTTATTTTAGATAGAGATTGATTTGTGAAAACCTTTACAAAGCATTTTGTCACTTTCAGTGTTTTTCACTGCTCTGTGGTATGGTATAAACAGGCTGTCCTAACCTAAAAGATAACGGTCGAAGCCATTAGAAAGATCATCTTATAATTTTAAAAATGGACTAGATATAACTTAGCTAAAGTTATCTCGATTTCAAAATAATTAATAGTCCCGTTTGTTTTTTACTATTGTTTAAGTCAGCAGTTTTCAAAAACTCAAATTATCGACAACGTTGACAATATATATGACAGTCGGAGCGTGAGAGCGGCGATTATATTTAAATATGTACTGCAACATTCGACATTATGATTTTATATATATATCGACAAATATTTTTGTTGTTGAATGGTCGTTTGATCTTATATGACCTAATGTAAGAGCCTGCAATAACGCGGTTTGACCAGTGTGGCGCTGTAGTGCAAGACTGTAAGTCAGCGCTCCTGGATGCAATTCAAAAGAAGAAGAGACAGCGCTTATCATACATATCTATGGCGCTTATGACAGTCAGAACGGAGAGCCCAAATTTACAGCAGAAAAAACGTCTCAGGTTACTTATGTAACCATGGTTCCCTGAGTAGGGAACGAGACACTGCATCCTCTAGGGGTCGCTATGGGGAACACCTCGTCGTGACCCGTGTCTGAAGCATACATTGAAAAAACACCAACAACACGTTGGCCGGCGACAGCCATGACGTCACTACCGGTGCGACTATAGTATAAATAGGCGCCGGGAGCACACATCATTCACTTCTTCGTCTGAAGCTTGCGTCCGCAGCATGGCAAGAAACCTAGAGGACGCAGTGTCTCGTTCCCCACTCAGGGAACCATGGTTATATAGCTGATTTAACTGTAAATGACAGGAAAACTAATAAATGTTCTGTTAGCATGAATTGGTTTCCTTGAGTTATTGCCCCGCTTGGGTTTTTTCTCCCCTCCTGACCTTATCTGGTACACAGTTGACCCATACTGTGGCGTGTTGACTTAGATGAAATAGAACGAGGGGTTACGTAGGTAACCTAGTTCTGTGAATGAAGTCAACACGCCACATGGCGTGGTCACTCAGGGAGCACTAGTCGGCAAAAGAGAAAGCGCCGGCTACATCGCACCTGTATTTATAGACCGTGATTGCAAGCGGGGCGTGGTTAATTTGATATACCGTCTCCTGACAGCTCATCCTTAGCAGGCTGACCCCTACTGTGGCGTGTTGACTTCATTCACAGAACTAGGTTACCTACGTAACCCCACGTTTCCCCTATCCGATCTTTTTTTTTCCCCTCGTCTCAAGAAATATCTGCGTCCACACGAAACCACAAAACCGCCACAAAACGATGTAGTATACATGCCAGACCAGTATGTGGCGCTGTAATTCTGCCACAGAGATACACTAAAAATGGAGAAGACTTGGACTATGCGCATAAACCTTGCGCGCGGTATACAAATGAACATGGAACAATACATTTATTAATCTGTGTTAATGTTAGTTAATAAAAAGCCAATCATTCAGTGTTTGTTCATGTTTTTGTTGCTGTTAAGTGACGTAGCGGTGTCTGACTAGGGGCGAGACGTGGGCTGATGACGTCATCGTTTCAGAAAATATACGGATTCGCTGTCCACACGAAAATGCAAGGGCGTCGTTTTCAGATTTATCCACCCTGGGACCCAGCTTAAAAAAATATCGGTTTCACTCTCCCAAAACGCCGGATCCGTGTGGACGAAACGCCTGTACGATACAAAATGTATGCGTATACAGCTAAACACGTCTCCATGTGGACGGGGCCTGAGAGGAGTACCTTTTCTTCGCCCGCTTATCATGCTGACTGCTTCCCCACGTAACGGCGCTTCTGCCAGTGATCCCGACAAATATAGACACAGAATTACAGTATTTAAGTGTTTACGCAAACATAATCATTGATGTCTTAAAAGAACGTTTGGGGAACTGTTGGGGAAAAACATCTGATGTGTAACATTATATCCGTGCAGTACAGTAGGACTTAATAGGCCATCTGTCTCATTAATGTTAATCTAACAATAAAAGAAAAGAGGGAATCACTCGCTGCTCTTTTGACTGATTGAACTGCTTTTGTAGTTTTTTTAAAAAGTATTTTTTATTAGTTTTACATTGCACAATAAACACCAAACAAAACAACAATAAAAGAACAAAATACATAAAATAATAATTATAATAAAATAATATTTATAAAAGAAAAAACTTTTATTTAAAAGAGCAATCAGGGCATACAAGCAGTTTCAGTGGAAAAACAAAGAAGCACTCAATAGGGGGAAGACAAATACTAAGCACTACATTGCTGGTCAGAGTAAGCATTACATTGGTCCAAATGATCTAGAAATGGTTGCCATGTACTGTAAAACTTATCAAGATTACCCATAACTCAAGCTGTTGTACCCCTAGAGGTACAGTTTTTACATTTTTCATCTTTTCTTTTCAACTTCACTGGGTCAACAAAACTAACTAATCTAAGAACATTTCTTTTTTAACTGCATACCTCGGTTCCTCACGAAATCCCTTATATTCTGTACTGTTCTTTCTCTTAGAACAGGGTCCTCTACAGCCTTGCACTGCTTACACTCTGCCGTTGTTACGAGGTGTCCTTTTGAAATATGGGCTTTGAAATGTTTCATGACTGCATTCGCTTCATTTGGGCTCCATGGCCTTTTCACAATTCTCCTTGATTTGGCCTCTGCAAAATAAATAAATATATTCACTGACAGCTGAAACTATACATGCCTCCCTTCAACCCAGCTGTTGGGTTACAGTCGGAGCATGGGCTTTCTGCATCCTCTTCAGGAGAGAGCGGTTCTTATTGCTGCCTATCTGGTGCCCTTCTTAAGTGAAATAAAAGTTTGTGTATGTTTTACTTCATCTATAAAGTCTTCACTATGCACTATTCACTACACAACATAGAAGGATGAGATGTCAGTCAGCTGAATGTGTCAGCAACGGTCGTTTTTAGCCTTGCATTACAAACTGATTGTATTTGTTATAACATTATATATTGTATTATAATACTTAATTAAATGTATTTTGATGTTAAAATATGTTCTCTAATCTCAGTACTGATTGTTTATGGACAGGTTATGAAGTCAGTCACGGAACCTTTCAGCCGGCGGGTAATTTTAATTTGTTAGACTATTTTATCTACAGCTCGTTAGAGGTAGAATTCTTTAGTGACATAAAGATATTTATTGAAATGAATTCGAATTAAGTAGAGAGAGAGAGAGAGAACGAACGCATGCACCCACATGCGAGCGAGCGATTGTGAAGCATTGCAAACAAGCTTGTCGGTTTAATTACAAAAACTGCCAAGTTCTCACCTCATTGCTGAGAAATATATGTAGCTTTTAACTGTTGTATTTTCAAAATTCACAGGGCGGGGGTTGAAAACCAGCTCCTGAATGTGCAATTTCTTACCTACAAAAAGTTTCCATCTCAATAAAATGCGAGCGCTTACAGCACGGCGGCATTAAAACGCCATTAAAAATCTTTATGAGCAAACGTGTCGCCCTCGCATTGGGAGTTCTGTGGAGAATCGGATATGTGTGTTTAGACGTAGGTCGGATGTCCAGATATCAGATGTGTATCCGATTAAAATCCACATTTGGAAGTGGCTCAGATCGGATGCAAAAAAATCGGATCTCGTGCGGGTTTTTGTGTTTACACGTGTGCAACAAATGCCGATCTGTGTCAGATGTGAGCAAAAGATCGGATTTTTTGTGCCAGTTTAAACGCAGCCTAAGAGTGAAATTCGAGCCAGTGGTCTGAGGTTCGCAGTTCCCCTGCAAACAGCAGCCCATCACCGGCTCAGATTTTAACGACACACTAGCCGGGTTTCCATCCAAAGTTGCGAAAATAACTTATGCGCAAAACTGGAATATCGCATAAAACATTTGCGAACAAGCATCATTTCCATCCAACAAGTCAAAGAGAACAAAATCGTCACTTCCTAATAAACTGGCACTATAAATCACTAAGAAAAGTAGGAGAATATAATAATTTTCATATATAATAAATTACTTGTGCCTTAGAGCGAGCAGACGAAACACAATGAATGCGGTCATCATGGGTGACATTTGACTCTCGAGTCAGGGGGGGGGCGAGACATTTTTTTAAAATATAAAGTGGTGTAAAACAGTTTTTGCCCCCTTCCTGTTTTTTTAATTGTTTGCATATTTGTCACACTTAAAAGATTCAGCTCATCAAACAAATTTTAATATTACACAAAGATAACCTGAGTAAATACAAACTGCAGTTCTGAAATTATGATTTCATTTATTAGTAGGTTTGGACAGCTTTTTTCCCTTAATAAATGAAATGATCATTTAAAAACTGCATTTTGTATTTACTTGCATTATCTTTGCGTAATATTAAAATTGGTTTGATGATCTGAATCTTTTAAGTGTGACAAATATGCAAAAAATAACAAAAAAACAGGAAGGGGGCAAAAACCTTTTCACTGCACTGTATATATATGATTAGGTTTTGGCTAAGGGTTACTTGCATGTAATTATGCATAATTAATTGTTTTTATAATAGTAAGTACATGTAACGTGTAACAAGGAGACCTTCAAATAAAGTGTTACCACAAGTTTCAATGTATGTAATATTGTAAACTATACTGTATTCATCCAAATAAATTTAATTTGTCTTATATTTTTATTTAGATTAAAGGAATTTAAGGTTATTTAACCAGATCATCCCTAGGACAAGATTAAGTGGTGACCAGGCATGTTCAGTGGTGGCCCCAAAGCTTTGGAATAGTTTGCCTTAATATCGTACACTTCACCTACATTGGGCTCTTTTAAAAGAAATTTGAGATAATATATAGTAGAGTTAGCTTTTGGCTCAACAGATTGATCTAACAAAGTGGCTCTCATTTTTTCCTGTGATGTTTGTTTTACTTGCTTAATTATTTGTCAGTCTGTTTCCTTTCTGCGATGTTGGTCTCATTTTTTTATTAGCTGTTGTTGTTATCATACAGCAGACTGGTCAATCTTGTGTTGTTTTAATTGTGCTCTTTAAATAAAATAAAACTAAAAATATTTGTCTATGGCTGTTCTTGCTTATTAATAAATTTTCACCTTTTGGTTATTGCTGTTGCCTCTAGTAATTCTGCGTGAGATTTCTAATTTTCAGCAATATAGTAATTTTTAAACAATAATTGAGTTAAATAAAACAATTTGGATCAACCAGCAACCCAACCAACTGGGTCAAAATTATCTTATATATCACTGATTCTTGAGAAGTGGGACAAAACAGGGTGTAATATTGAAAAAACCTTGTACCTAGACAAATGAAACTACATTTATGTATCTATCTAAAAATAATATTATTTTGTGTATTTGGTGTAATGCAAGGTTTACACGGTTTAAGGTTCAAAAAACAAATTTTTTTCCACATACTGTACATTATTGTTGCTCCTCTATGCCCCGCCTTTCTGAAATGCGTAAATTTTTTACAAAGCTCATTGTTCTGAAAAGCACGGTGTGCTCTGATTGCCCATCTATAAAGTGCGTTGTGATTGGCCTAATACCTCAAGCGTGTGACTAAAATGTTACGTCCCTTACCATATTGAGATGCCGTGTCCCGGAGCGACGAGACAAAACCAATAAAACCCATTATAAACTAGGCATTTGTTGCATCCAGTGGGGACATAATTACGGATTATAATGACTTATACTGTCTTTTTACGCGTTGCGTTGCATCTCGCCGCGTAAGCATAAAACCATGTCTGCATTTGTGATCGGAGAAATGACAAACAACAAGCCCTACTCTACAGTCCTCAAAACTCGTGTTTGAATAGTCAGTGGCAAAATCTTTAAATATGAAAACATACTTACAGGCTGGGAGTTAGAAGTCCCAGACTGTCCTTGCAAAGTTGGAACTGCCCCACTTTATAGAAACAGCCTTTGTGCACAGCCGGCATTGTAGGCTACTCTCCCAGGTTCAGGAAACAGTCCTCCGTAAAATTCGCTGCACACACTCGAATATTTGGGTTGAACTCTTCTGGAACCACTGATTTCTAGTTGTGTCCTCTTTTGGAAGACCAAACAAAGTAGTTTCACCCACACAGTGACGTAGACATGTGGGGGCGTGTTAGAACGAGGCATTTTAGAAAGGCGTGGACGAGTCTTAACTTTTATGAAGAATATCTCTTTGTGTTTGAGACTTTAGTCTTAGCAACTTCACGGATCTTATCTATGCACAAACAGCTTTCCACAGCACTCCAAAGACAAAGGAAAACCTGAAATCGCATCATATGACCCCTTTAAGCCCATATTCATATATAACTGTAACTTGAATATGTTTTGGTTAGCAGCTAAAATTATAAAAATTGTGCTTGTGTCCAAATCAGAGCATGTGAGCGGGGAGCGGAGTGGTAATATTTCCGTAAGAGCGCAGAGCGTAGCGGAGCGTCACACCGCTCCGCTTCGCTCACATGCTCTGGTCCAAATATATATGGACCTAACCAGGGATTGAAAGTAACTTTTTCACTCACCAGCCAATATGGCTACTAAATTTTTAAGTTACCGGACATTCATAACTTCTACTAGCCAAAAAAAAAAAAACACCAAATTGGCTAGTGATTTGACAGCGTTACCCGCCACAGCTGATTTTTACCCGCATTTGGCGGGTTGGCGGTTGTTAATTTCAAACCCTGGACCTAACTGTATTTTCTCTCATCTCAGAACAGTATGTCTGCTGTGCATCTGCTATGTTATCAAGGTAACTTTTAAACAGTTAAATCAATAAATAAAACAATTAGTTGTTAGCTCTATCCATTTACATTCACCAGGATCTTAATATTCACATTTAATCATCTTAACAAATAATCTAAATATGATCAGAACACATAATTAGAATACAAACGAACTGTATTATGTATAGATATGTTTTATCCAGTGTTTTGTGTTCCCTCAGCATTATGGTCCCTGAATCTTATGTTCTGGTGGTGACATCTGACAGTGCTGACAAATTTGGCATTTTTTTAACAAAACGAATGGAGTTCATGTAGTAGCCATTTTGTTTTCTCTGTTGATGCTAGATGCCAAAAGAACCTGCTTCAGGAGAATAAAATTATCTAAATATTTCAAATAATTCCCTCAGAATTTGGAAGATGGTGTTGATAGATCATGATTGTGACACAGGAAATATTAGCATTAGGATTTAAAATATTCTAAAACTATAAAACTTACCAGAGCCTGTCTGACATTGATGTACTCTGCAGAGATGAAATGTGGCAAGGGGGTCCGTTAGAGCGACAGCTCCCCCTGATATTGCCTGATTTATTTACATTTTAATGAATGTCTGACAGTGTTGACAAAAGGTGGGGACACAACTTTGAAACCTTATGAAACATGCATGTGTCCTTGAAAAACAACCTTGCTTTGATATGAGATATTATTAAGTGTTGCTTTAAATGAAACATTTTTTATCCATTTTATAGCATATGAATGATTGAACCCTTCTGTGTGGACACTGTTTTTGATGTAGTGAGAAGACAATAATTGTCATAGATTTCATATAATAATAATAAAATTAAATTTAAGGGGATAATTGTGTTAAATACATTCTATTATTAATCCCACATAACATTTACAATTGAAAATATTTTCATTCTTAAATCTAATAGCAGTTATAATTGCTGGACATGTTTTGACCCATGTCTCAAGAAACAGTAATATATACACACACACCTAAACATACCTGTGGAGCTCTCAGCCTCATCTGGGGACATTTTTCTTTTTCCTATGGAAAAAAAGCAATACTCTATTCCTCTTCTCTACAATGCAAACAATTTCTGACCATCTTAAATCTGAATATGTATAAATATAATACAAACATATATTCAAATTCATTTAAAAAATACCATTGGAACTTTATGCCTCTTCCTGGGTCAACTCCATCCCTATTTTATTTTATAAATTGAAGAAAAAAAAAAACGAAAAGAAATTAAATGCATTTCTTACTTTAAACTTCAAGGTTAAAACTGGCTGGTGGGATCACAGAAAACTTGCCATTTACAATCTCATCTGCAGATGTGACACAAAGTTTCAGGAAAATAAACCCGCAAAAATCACCAGGCCCAGACAATATCCCTGGATAGGTACTCAGAACCTGCTCTTTTTCTGGACTCTCACCAAAAGTCATGTTATAATCGATGACGCTTTCTACATTGCACAATGAATTAGGGTTGGGCGATGTCTACAAAATTGGCATTGGACGATGTCTACAGTGAAACATCGCGATGGACAATGACATCGTGGGGGTGCGGGGGTTACATTATACATTTACATTACATAATGTCTGTTACATTACAGTACATAAAATTTCACTTACCGCATAAACAGAGTAAGGAGAGATGACTGAGGACGACGGCGAATGATTTGCAGATTCTGAGCACCACTGACAAACATCTAATCTTGTAAAATGTGTGATAAGTACTGCCGCTCCATAGTATAAACAGACTACTTGCGATCGCGAATCTCGAAAGTGAAACTAAAAAGCGATCGTGCATTCAAAAGCAGTTTCAATGCCAGGCATAATAGCGGCTCACTGCCTGATGCCCGCAATTTAAACAGTATAATTACCCAATGATATAACTGCGAAATAAAGTATTGAAATATATATTTTACTCTCATCTCGTATTTATTAACTTTAGGGGTTCTGTATAGATGTCATTTTATTTCCAAACACGGAAAAGTCTATCAGCCATCGGCGATGGACGATGGCATCGTCTATCGGCCCAACCCTACAATGAATCTCTTATTTACATCATGTTTGCACTGTTAATTATGATAAAAGCATTTTTGAGAGTGCAGAACTCAAGCGGCAATGACGAGATCACAGCATTAATGCACTCAACATTTGCTGTCATCGGCTACAATCGCTGCAACCTTTCATGTGACAGGAGTAGGCCTAAATATATTGCTATAATCAACACTTTTCACAATTAGATAATCTCGACAGCTGTAATAGTAAAAATGTAGTAAAAGTTTTCGAGAGAGCTCCACATCTAATACTTATTTCATATGCATGATGTCAGCCAATCATAGCAGTGGGTGTTTACACTGAAGTCTGACAACAGACATGCCCCTTCTAACGGAGCATTCAAACCAGAGGGCTAAAATCAGCGTAGAAAATTATCTAAATCTAAAATAATCTAAATTATAATTTTTTTATGTAAAAAAAAAAATCATACTAACATTTTAAGTGCACCTCAGGAATCATTAAGAAATTAAAAAATGCAGTTCATGACCCCTTTAATGGGCATAATTATGAATGAAAATAGCTGAAGGAAACATCTATTTGCTAAACAAAACAAGACAACTAATATTAGTCATATTCTTTTGCTATGTCTACACAATATTTTTTACAAACTACAAAAGAAATGACAATACAGGAATGTGTAATTGGTATGAGCAAATACCAAAACTGAACATATCGATATCAAACTTCTTGCGTAGTTAATTGGATGCATCCCTTTTTAGTTTCATTTAACAGTTTTCTTAATAAAGCCATATAGACTAGAAGGAGACCACTTGCAAGCCTGTATGAAGACTGTAGTGGGCCTCTTGTGGTAAGTTCTGTAGTGAATACATAATCCCATTAATGCACACTGGAATAAAATTCATTACGCACCCCTTACTCCATGTGCAGGATCTGACTCTTCATCATCTTCATCACTTATTTCTTCATCGTCTAATTCCAGATCAATTTCATCTATAGAAAAGCATATTTGACAAACACCCATACACGTGCATTAAAGTACACACATATAGCTCCTAAACTTCTATTATTTACAGAAATATTTTAAATTATTATTATTATTATTATATAAAACTATGCACATACCTTCAATCTCAATTTCATCGAGAGGTTTTCCTTGGAATCTTGCGAGACTTCCTTTTTCCATTGCTAGTAGCAGCTTTGAGATTTTTGCAATTTCTATAGTTGCATCTGGCAACCGATAATAGTCTCTATGGACTCGAATGTCATGGCCCAAAAAGTTGGCAAGTTGGTCCAGCTCGTTATCCTTAAGACTGAGAATCTGGGACATTGTTGCCACTTGCTTGCGGAGCTGTGTAGACCTGAGATGTTCTGGGTTCTTCGCACCACACTGACTTGCAAAAAGCCTGATGCAGTCCTGTCCTCTGAAGAAGCTGGTGGGTGAGCACTTTGGTCTTCCAAATAGGAAGGGGTTGTCCCCGTCTACTTCACATGCATCTCTCTTCTCCACAATAAGTTTAATGGTTCTGACAAGTTCAGGATTGAACAAAATAGCAACTTTTCTCCCTTTCTTGCCCATGATTTCTACTCTGCTGAAATGCTTGGACATTTTTTGTTCAAATGGAGAGAGACAGAGAGCTATGTCCTCGTGGAGCTCAGCCTGGTTTCTTTTCTTAAAGCACTCGAGCGTCATTTTTGAGACTTCTCCTGCACAACGTCTGTTGAATATTATTACTTGTGCAAGTGCCACTTTGGCAAGTTCTGCATATGTCTGTGAAGACTCGTGATTTTTTAGGCTTTCAAAAGCTTCAACTGATTTCTTCTCTAGGTACTGGTGGAGAAGCTGCACGTCCTGTGTGAATGGTATAGTAGATGGTTTGCTGAACTTTGATTTGTTCAAAGTAGCAAGAGCAGCATGCGAGACATGTCCTGCCCATTCACTTGAGCACAGTCTTTTGAATCGCTCTGCTGCTTTTGTCACAACATCATCCTCTACTGCGATGGCCCTGCAGAGAATAACGTCACCAATCTTGTTAAGTGAATGTCCTAACTTCAGTGCAAGACTTGGCGTCTTATACAAATGGCTCTTTTCATCGTAACCAGCAACATCTTTCACAGCCTCAAGGACTTTGTAAAAATGGTTCGGTTTCACAGCATCTTCAAAGCTATATATGGAGTATTTTCTTCTCAATCTTAGCAAGAGTCTGCCCATTTCTCGAGCCTTCTGTCTGATGTATTCAGATTTTGATGGATCACTGCCATGCTTGTTGTAAAGACATTGACTCAACTGAAGTATGAGGAAATCATTTCGAACTACTGATGAAATGTCATCATTCTTCATATTTCCCAAGATCTTCCACACCTGAGGAGATATTGGTTGGGAGAATGTTGACTCTGCAATATCAGCCAAATCTAATACTTTGGCTTTGCCAGTTGCTTCAGACATCTTTGAAGGGCATCTCCGTGTATGGCGCCACAGCTCCTTGCGAACAAACAGGCCTTTACAGTATACACAATGCACAAATGTTTTGGCACTCAGCTCGATTTCTGATCTTCCTGTGCGCCTCCTAATTTTCAGTGGTCCTCTTTTTCTTTCTATAACCTCTTGATTGTGTTGGTAGTTGCCTGTTTCGTAGCTTCTCAAGTAACTGTTTTCTGTCCTTGGAGTGTTTAGGGAGAGAGAATGCAGCAGCAATTTCCGTCTCACTGTTTTGATGCTGTTTGAAGTGACGTGAAATTTTAGACTGAGGTTTCTTGCAGACGTAGCAGTAATTTTTGTGGGTGGTGAAAGTTTCTTTGGGGTTTGGCACATCCTCTGTCTCTGACTGTTTATCAGGAGACTCTGTTGGTGTATAATTTTCATTACATGTGAGCTCTTGAGCGGAGCTGGATTTGTAAGACACTGAAACAGCTGGGTTTGTTTTACAATATGGTGGATTGAATGTATTGGCAGACAGAAAATCACCGCTATCGCCATTTTCCATGATCATGTAGTTTAACATACAGTTTTAATTAAAAAATATAATTTAGGGGTGTCACACCAAAGGACAACAAAACTTAGCACTTTTATACTGGTTCCAAAAAGTTAAATATTTTAACAATTCTGAGACAGAAATTTACCATGTGCACATCGTTGAGATCACAGGGGGCTTCAGTAACGTGACCTTGAATAGGTTCCTTCAGCTAATTAAAATTTGTCTGTGAAACTGTCCAATTTAAAATAAGAATATGGTGTCACACCGGAGACACCAATGACAAAATGTCATCAAGTTCCTAAGCTTTTTTATTTTTTAACTAAAATAGACGCTTCTAAAACTATGCCTGAGTTTTTTGTTTTTTTTTTACATTTTTTTATGCTTTCCTTTTTAATTTATAAAAGATGTAATTTATTGAACCATGCTTGAGGCTGTCATACCATTGGACGATATAGATATTTTGCTCAAAAAAAAAAAAAAAAAATCAAATAACACAGCAGTTTTTACAACAGGTCCATGTAGGACAAAGAAATGTTTAACCATTTACTGCATTTTAAATATGACAATAATAATTATATTAATTTTTATCTTGTGACAGTGAAAATGCCATGCCATGTCAACAACCCTAATACACATTTGAGTGATTCTGAGAATGTAAAGTTGATGAATATTGAAAAATAAAATTGGCTCTAAACATTCATGTACAAAATTATTCAACCCCCAAAGTCAAATTTGTTGTGGAATATATATATACTTTGATTGAACATTTGGGCGGCGTTATGCATATCTTCCCACATAGAGAGGTAGACATGTGGGGGCGTGTTAGAACGAGTCGTTTTAGGTAGGTGTGGCTGACTCTGAACTTTTATAAAGAATATCTCTTTGGATTTGAGACTTTAGTCTTTGCAACTTTACAGATCTTCTTTATGCACCAAGAGCTTGTAACACTCCATTTTTTTGCAAATTAACTCTTCAATTACAGACCGAATATTCGAATGTTCAACTATTTGTGCACACCCCTAGTTTAATGTTACATAAAATAATTGTTTTGTTTTTCCTATTTCTATCATGTTTACATATCTGTTATTCTTTAGAATTGGAAATTTATCAATGTGACCCAGGACCACAAATCCAGTCATAAGTAGCACGGGTATATTTGTAGCAAATGTCAACAATCACACACACACACACTCACACACACACACACACACTCTCTCTCACACACACACACACACACACACACACACACATCATACCTGATAACAAATGTGCTACACACAATACAATAACACCCCATGGACAGCCCATAATGCATTGATCTAATGCTGACCTAATGGGCCATTTGGGTCACACTTTGGTAAACAGTTTTGATTGACTGCATCTGAGGCACAGTCACAATGTAAATGTATCTGAACTGAAGTACAATATAATCTTTCAACATATTCAGTTGTTACTCCTCATCTTCCCTTATTAAGAGTGAATAGATCAGTTAATAAATACAAGATGCAATAACCAGTTTATTAGAAAATCAAACTCTAGTAGTAAATCTTAAAAAGTATGTAATGTTACATTAGTGTTTTAGTGAAGTTTGGAGAACAAAATACCTAGCAGCAGCTCTAATCCAATCAGAACTATAGCACTCATTATCAGAGAGATCAGTGAAAGACCAATACTCAACTCAGCTTATCAGTTACTAACCAGCACTGATACATTACAACATTACGTTATCTTATTTAGTCTGAATTCCGTTTTAACGTACATGCTGGAAATCCACAAATCACTTACATCCATAATGATACTCTCTAAATGACAGCTGTTAGGTTGTTAAACATGTACATTACAAACAGATGTCAACTGGCCAGAACTGTCCATTTTGTCTCTGCAAAATCAGCAATGAAGGGTGTTCCTGTAAGACTGAGGAACACTGTCATATTCACCTGCAGAATAGTAACAATGTTTTACTTACCTGTGAGACAGTGTAAATGTGAAGATGACACAGATGCAAGGCTCTTGATCCGAGATGTGGCCAGAAGCTCCTTGTTTTAGGAATGAGGTTTGGAGATGATGATGTAGACTGAGACACAATATCACAACTAAAACGAGGGTTGAGTCCCCTTTAAAGTTCATTAAAGTCCCCAAGTCAATTCAGTGACTTTTTTTCTTTGTTCAAACTGGACATTGAACATGGGTTGAAGCTCTTAATTTTGAGCTCTCTAACTTCTCAAAGTGCACCAGATTGATGAATTTAGCTTTGATATGTACAAAATGGTTTTCCAGAAATGTAACTGTTCTAACAGTCTCAAGTCATAATAATAATAATAAAAATTAAAGTTCCCACAAGATTTTTTGAGACTGTTGTGTGGACCTCGGTCCCTCTAGAAGTGTAGAGTTGAACTTACAGCATTTCTTTGAGCACTTTGCTGTCAGTGGTGGTGAGCTTGTGCCTGACCCGCCCCTCAAACATCATTGGTCAGTGTTGAACATTCATGTATACAATAAAAGGTAAAGCAAGGCAAGTTTATTTATATAGCACATTTCATACACAATGGTAATTCAAAGTGCTTTACATAAAAGGAAGTAAAATAATCATAACACATAATCACAACAATAAAACAAGGAATTTAAAAACTTTTAAAATGATTTTAAAAATTGACTTAAAATGAATTTAAAACAGTTAAAAATAGAAAATGAT